TTACTTTCTTTCCTGTACTTTCATCATCGTCACTCATTACAGCATCGTTAGATGTAGATAATAATTGAATATTTTTGACCTTGTTTCTCAAAAAATCAAATCTATCCTCTGCCTCTATTGTCTCTTTCAAGTGAGCTGTTGTCACAGTACCAGCATTCTTCTTTTTAGTAATTTTTGATGATGTGACAACTAAATCCTGAATAAAAAGTTCCAAAGCCCTAGATATTAAAATAGGAACAACAGCAGATATTTTACCAATTTCCTCATCTGATTGAATTATTCTTTTGATTTTTGCTACAGCAAATGTTGGTCTATTCTTCTTTTTTCTTGTAGGTGTTGATGGGCACACTAATTTTGTTGGTGTAGTATTATTATTTTGAATGATTGATGATGTTACAGGTTCTGTTGTAGGTGCTTCGGGTTTAGTTGCTGTATCGACAAATAATTCCTTCTTGACTGTATCCGATTTCTTTTTTCTTCCTCTCTTGGCTTGTGTAGTTGTTGTAGAAGGAGAAGCTGTTTGAGCCTGTTGTTGAGGGGGAGCCGACAACATTTGTACAGTCCTTTTTGGTGTATTCTCCAGAGTATTACTTTGAGGCACATTATTCATCAAAATCGTGCCACTTCTTGGTACGGTAGAAGAAGAGGAGGCACCAACATGTGTTGTTGGCAGTGATGATGTATTATTATTAACTCCCGAGGAGGAAGCTGATACTTGAGTGTTTTTCAGCAACGTATTTGTTGGCTTCTTCAATGCTGGCATTTTATTATTAAAAAAAAATAAAAGAAATAAAAAAGAAATTTATTATGATCAAAGTTTCATAATTAATAAATTTATTAGATCCATTAAAACTAACAAATGGAATAGAGAACTATTCTGTAAAACAATGAAAATCTGTACGGACACGTTTTGTTATTTACCTTTTTATCTGGTTGTCAAAACACGAAAATAACAAGAAAAAATGCAATCAAAGATCAATTACATTGGAGGCTTGTTATTGATTGCTCCGCTTCTTTACATGTTCTTGACACACGAAGTGTTGAGAAGTAATTACATGATACAAATATCTATTATTATTAGTTTGATCGGATATGCTGTAACTTTATTTATGATACCTTCTATCAAGGGTTTGAATGAAAAAGCTGGCTTGGCTGGAAAGGATTTGAATAAGGGCGAAGAAGGAGCTAAAACTAAAGTACCAGAATCACTGGGTATTGTTCCGGGAGTTGTTTATATTGTTTGTGTTTGTTTCATCCAAGAAATGTTCCAAGACAAGGCCCAACATGATCTTTATATTGCTGGATTATTCTGTACTTGTTTTATGCTTTTCCTTGGATTTGCTGATGATGTATTGGAGTTAAAATGGCGTTACAAATTGATTCTCCCAACTCTCGCTGCTCTTCCTCTCCTCACAACTTATTCTGGATTGACTTCAGTAGTCATTCCAAAGCCTTTGAGAGCATTCCAATTCTTTGAAAGTATTGCCACAACTGTTGGAGACAATTATTGGATGTTGGAACTTGGTATCCTTTATAAGGTTTATATGTGTTTAGTTTCAGTCTTTTGTACAAATACTATCAATATTTTGGCTGGTATTAATGGATTGGAAGTTAGTCAATCTATTGTCATTGGTCTCTCAATTTTATTACATAACTTTGTTGAATTTGAAGCTGGAAATGAACAACACTTATTCTCCATTGTTTGTATCATTCCATTCATTGCTGTAAGCTTTGGATTATTGTACTATAATTGGTATCCAAGTGAAGTCTTTGTTGGTGATACCTATACTTATTTTGCTGGCATGATTCTTGCTGTTACTGGTATCATGGGTCACTTTAGTAAGACTTTGATGCTTTTCCTCATTCCACAAATATTGAACTTTTTAATATCCACTCCACAACTGTTCGGAATAATACCTTGTCCTAGACATCGTATTCCTAAATTCAATCAAGCTACAGGAAAATTGGAAAGTAGTAAGAATTGGACACTTTTGAACTTGATTTTGGAAATTACTGGACCAATGAAAGAGAGCACACTCACCATTATTATGGTTATCTTCCAAGTAACATGTTGTGCTATTGGATTTTTCATTCGTTATCGTTTGAGTACTTATTATTATGATTAAGCTTTTATTTCAAGTTCTTGTGACAAAATATTTACAAAATAATAATTTACAAATTATTGATTAGATGGTGATTCATAAACTCCATATTTTCTTTCAATCCATTCAATATCCTGTTTAGCACGTTCAATGATTTGGTGAGCACGTTCATCATTTTCCGATTTGTGATTAACAAAATGTTGATAGGCATAATTCCGATAGTATGATCTAGTTTCTGGTGGTAATTTTCTTACCGTTCTCAAAACTTTGACAAACAATTTGAGTGCTTCAATGTTCTTTTCTGTCATTTTTTTTAATTGAATCAATATTCTAATGATAAACAAGAATGATTGTTTTTCAATTCAACACTGACACAACAACATGCCTTACAAAATTTCATAGTGTCTCCCAANTCAAAAAAATTGTATTACTTGTTGCCTACGATTAG